TGCACGAGGCAAATGACAGCTTCTGTACACACAGCTAATAAAAGCAGCTTCAATTCATTTCTGCATCAGTTTCAATCGAAACAGTGAAAGACATTTAGTTTAGTCATCAATTTCCTTCAGAATGCCCTACAGTCAATTCCTCTCTCTGGAGAGACATCAGTCTGAATAGGTCATACTTAGCTAAGAAAGAAGACATGTTAGTTTCACAGGCAGAGAACTGGATACAGCAGAACACTGCCAACTCACTCGTAACCCCAAAACCAAATGTATTTTAAAGGCACTTAATACATGTAAGCAGCAAGTTGTTCAATACAAGCTATTTAATGTATTATTAATGAGTATTCTCTATCTTCTCTAATTTGGTAGCATGCCTGGAACAACATTTTGTTTCCTTAGCTGAGATGCCCCAAGGATCACAGTGAAAATTATTTCTTCATAGTATCCTTAGTCTAAGCAGTGACAAAAATTGGAGGTGGGCCAGAACCAAATACTGGTACGCAGCGCTGCAGCCTCACTGAGATGCTGGCAGCCACAAGAATTATACCCAAGGACACAAGGTCAAATTCAAGCAAGCCTGAGAAAGCCATTCGTTCCCTAATATTCCTCTACCAAGCAGATAAGAAACTGCAATTTGAGGTGGTTTTGGGTTTTTTCCTTTTTTTTTTTTTTTTTTTTTCTTTCCAGATAGTTCTGCAGAGCTTAAAGACTGAGGCGGATCTCCCTAGGGCATTTAAGTTGATATGCGATCATTCTTTTGGTTTGGGCATAACTTGGACAATTATTAAAGTGACATCTCCTGGATGTGACCCCTGTAAGTGGTATTTTGCTTTCCTACACAGTACACTGACATCCTGGTGGATTTTACCAGCTGACACACACACCTCACACTCCGAACTAGCTGACTGATCATGCTTTTAAGCATTATTCTTATAGCACAGACCCTTCTTCAGACTTACCTGTTTTCTGAAAACCCATTTTGGAGGCATGGATGTTTCTGGTAGCAACAAACGCTGCACCAAGGGTGTTTCTGGAAACCTAAATTAAACAATTGTTTCAGTAAGGTTTCCTTGATCACACAGAAGGGAGGCTATATTAATTTTTCAATGAGGCTTAGATATCTACCCTGCCTCCATTTTGAGCCGTCCTGCTGCGAGGCGAAAAAGCCGCATTTACAGCATCAAACCCAGCTCGCACTCATGTGAGAGGATACTCCGACAAGGTCAGGAGCACGAGCACACGGGCTCACCTTCACAGGGCACAGGGCTCGTTCCCCTCTCGCTTTCCAGCTGAGGACACCAGCGGGCACAGCACCGAATCACCCCCCTTCCATCCCTCCAGAAACCCCCAGCAGACCCTCAGCGGGAGCCCCGGCCGCAGAAGGCCGCGGTCCCTCAATGTCACCGCGGTCCCAAGATGGCGGCACCTCGCCGCCCTCTTCCCGCCCGAGAAGCGAAGGAGGCGCGCTCACCAAGCCGGCCTGCCGAGGCAGGGAACGGGCGAGGACGGCGGCCACGCGGGCGGACAGCATGGCGCTGGCAGCGGAGGAGAGCAGAGAGAGGCGGCGGGATGCAGCTGCCGGCCCACGGCGCGCTCGCTCTCTCTACAAAATGGCGGTGCCTCGCTCCGCCCCGTTGGGCGGCGGGGAGCAGAACCGCTCTTTCAGCGCTCCGCCTTGCGGCCCGGCCAATGGATGCGGTGCTTCGTACGAAGTGCGGCGCTTGGAGAACCTCCTTCCTGGGAGTGGGCGGGGGGAGAGCAAGGAGACTGCGGGTGGCGGGGGGTTGAGCCGGGGCCTAGTCATAGCTGGGGTTGTTGGGGACAAGGAGGGCTGTGGTAGCCGGGTTGAGGGCGGCAGGTCGAGGGAGGACATCCTCCCTCTCCGTTCTGCCCTTTGGAGGCAAGGTTTAAAATGCTGTGCCCGGTTCTGAGCTCCGTAGTTCCAAGGAACTGCTGGAGGGAATCCAGAACAGAAAGATCGCTATGGGCGTGGAACATCTCTGCTGCCCAGAGAGGCTGTGGATGCCCCGTCCATCCCTGGAGGTGTTCAAGGCCAGGTTGGATGGGGCCCTGGGCAGCCTGGTCTGGTATTAAATGTAGAGGTTGGTGGCTCTGCGTGTGGCAGAAGGTTGGAGATTCGTGATCCTTGAGGTTCCTTCCAACCCTGGCCATCCTGTGATTCTGTGATCTCCCATTTGAGAAAAGATGAGATAGCTGGGACACTTCAGCATGGAGAAGGCTGAGAGGAGATCTTATCAGTGCTTATCCATATCTTAATGAGTGGGAGTCAGTGGATGGGGCCAGGCTCTTTTTGGTGATGCCCAGGGACAGGGCACAGGGCATAAACTGAAACATAAACCGTGTCTGTGGTAACGATCAATGCTCAGCCAAACCCTGAGCTTGTGTGCATTTTGCTGCTCCATCTGGCTGCATGTAAGTCCATGGGACCAATGGGGCCCAGGGTGCTCAGTAAGCTGTCCGATGTCATAGCAAGGCCCCTCTCAATTATCTTTTCATGGTTCTCAAGATTCTGGAGAGGTCGCAGTTTGCTGGAAGCCGGTGAACTTGCTATGATTGTGAAGATGGGCAAGAAAAAAGAATCTGCCAATGTCAGAACTGTCAGTCTCACTTTGGTGTCTGGTAAAATCATGGAGAAAATTGTACTGGGAGTTACTGGAAAACACCTGAAGGATAATGTGGTCATTGATCACAGCCACAATGGATTCATAAGGGGAAGATCATGTTTAACAAACTTCATGTCCTTTTGTAATAAGGTCACCCATACTGTTGACCAAGAGGACCCAGTTGACATGATCTCTGTGCATTTTAGTAAAGCTTTTGATACACTGTCTTTTCATACAGAAATATAATGTGATATGTGAGCAATTGGGTGAGGCATGGGGATCAAAGAGTTATATTAACCCTTTGATATAGTAACCCTATAGTATGGAAAACAAAGGGTTTCTGCTCTGGAGATATTCAAGATCTGTCAGGATGCCCACCTTTGTGACCTACTGTAGGGAACCTGTTTTAGAATGGGGTTGGATTCAATGATCTCTAGAGGTCTCTTCCAACCTTTACATTTCTGTGATTCTGTGATCAGAGTGGCAGCCAGCCTCTAGCAGAGCTCCCCAGACTCCATTTTAGAGTCAGTTCTCCTTATGTTTTCATGAATGACTTGGATGTAGCACTAGGTGGTATTTTGAGCACAATCATTGACAGTACTCAACTGACAGGAGATGTTGGCTCTATCAAGGGTGGAGAGGACTTACAGAGAAACACAGACAAATTAGAGAGCTGAGCAATCGCCAACCACATGAAGTTTAACAGTGAGTTCTGAATTCAGCATATGGGGATGCACCGAGCTTTACATATAGACTAGAGATGAGGTGCAGGAGAGCAGTCCTGCTAAAAGAGATCTGAGGGTCTTGGCTGATGACAAGTTAAACGTGAGTCAGCTATCTGCCCAGGGAGCCAGGAAGGCCAACCATGTCCTGAGATACATAGAGCACAGCACTACTGACAGGCCAAGGGAAGTGATTGTCTGCACTGCACTGCTGCAGCCTCACATTAAGTACTGTGTGCAGTTCTCAGCACCACAATACAAAGCCAACACTTAAAGAGTGTCTAAAGCAGGGCCATAAAGGTGGTGCGGGATCTGGAAGGCAAAGCATGTGGAGAGCAGCTGAGGTCCTTTGGTTTGTTTAGCCTTGTGTGGAGCCAGGAACTGCACTCAATAATTCTTATGGATTCATTCCAACTCAGCATATTTCTGTGATTCTGAAGGAAGTTCCCTATGAACACGAGGAAAAACTACCTTGAAGGAGACAGAGCACTGGCACAGGCTGCCCAGAGAGGTGGTGGAGTCTCCTTGTCTGGAGATACAACTTGCCTGGACACTTTCCCGTGTAACCCACTGTAGGGAACCTGCTTTAGCAGGCTGTTGAACTAGGTGATCTCCAGAGGCTCCTTCCAACACCTACAATCTCATGATTCTGTGAAAACGAGGCCAAAAAGTGCTTTAATCCTTCCTGCAGTCTGGGAAGGGGCTGAGAGTGTGCAGCTCCTCGCCAGACTCCTTAATTATATTGTTGTTAATTATCAATCTCCTGAAGCACATTAAAAAGAATGGGTTTCAAGAGGTGACATTGTTTTATTCCACACAAGATGTAAGGTGGAATATTCCCACAAATCAAGCATGCCAACTCTTCATACTAGCTTATATTTATAGTCCAAAAAGTTTTCACCGCACCCTACTTAATGTGTAAGTCCTACCTACTACATATTCACGGCATTATGTAAGTACAAGGTTATGTAGTGTAACTGAATCTTCTGTGCTTGCTTGGGGTCTTTGGTGGTCTTCAGTGGCATATGGGGAGGTGTCCCACTCATTTTATACACACTTGGGTGCAAGGACACTTAATTTCTTCTGCTTTGTTACTGTTCTGGACTTGTGCCTCATTTCAAGGACGTGTCTTGTTGTTTCTTATTTATAGCCATCTTGGATCTTTGAGGAGAAGCATTCAGTTTTGGGAAGGTTGCTTATCCTAGATAAGCAGGACACCTGGGACTTAAAGCAGGGCTTTGACCTTGAGCCAGACGAAAATGTGTGACACCGCAGCAGCTCGGCTGCTTTGATGATGTATTTTGCAAGAAGGACCCCGACTTTTTAAATGTAAACAATAAACACACATATTTTGCCCTTTAGCTTAAAAATGATTTTCGTCCCTTCTGGTTAAAGGATTTGACGTGATGTGAATGGAAACACACAATTCCATCAAAAAAGAAATCACCTCAAATCACTGTACTATTTAAAAGCCTTATTTCCTTAAAAGCTTTGGGTCCATAAGGGGAAAAGTAAATTCTCAGGAAAAAACGGAGAGCTTTAAAATCAGCTGTTATACAAGAGCTTGCTGCGCATGACGAATCGCCCAGTCCAGCCCCCCCCCCTCCGGTACTACAGCTCCCAGCGGGCCTTGCGGCACTGCAGCTCCCAGCGGGCCGTGCGGCGCGCCCTCCGAGCGCAGGGAATGCCGGGATGGCGGCGGGAGGCTCGAGGCGGGGATCGGCAGTCTTTACGGAGAAGTTCCTGCGGGTAACGGTGGGGTTGGGGGATGGAGACGGGAAACGGTGTTATAAACTACAGGGAGTGCCTGCAGCAGAGATTTGGGATGCCGTCTGTTTACACTTGTTCTTTGAGTGATGTCGCAGGGGTCGTTTCTCAGGAATGCAGAGCTTGCAGCACATCGCTTTTCTTATGTCCGGCTGTTACTTTCTGTCTTTTCACTGGCCTCTTCTTTTATTCCCCCCGGTTAGATTACTTCATGGCTGAAGAAAACATTTGAAAATGTGCCGCAGTTTGAAGTGAACGCGCAGACCATTGATCTCTTGCATATGTTTGTGGAATACAGTGAAGAAAAAGAGAGAGATGTTTCATTTCTGATAGAAGACATGAAGCAAAGGGCAGCAGAATACGATGCAGATGGTGAGCTAAAGGCTCCACTTGTTAGCTTCTTTAGAGGGGTTTTTCCTAGTGATCTTGTAGACTGTTAAAATGCGAAGCTCAACTATATTAAAAAACAAATAGCAGTAGGCTAAGCATTTGTTGTGCTACAGCTTTTACTGTAAGGCAAGGCAAATCCATTTAGGCTGAAACTGGGTTGTAGCTTTGGATAGACCCATCTAAAACCTGAAAGAACAGCAGCATTAAAAATAAATCTTTTTTGGTTGTTTGTTTTTTAGCTGAGCATTTGCAGAGCCTTCTCACAGAAAGCCTCGATCTTTCACCATCCTGTCTGTCCGAAGAAGGCACTGCCCACCTTAAAACTCTGGTAGACATTGCAATGATACTTGAAACGGAGGATGCTTATCTTACTAGGTAATTCTTCCCACTGTGCAGCAGAGTTGGTGATCTGTGCTGTTTCCCTCTGTTTTTTTTTCAATTCATTTCAAAGTGAGTTTTCACACCAGGAATCCTACTAATCCAGCTTTTGCACCACTTGAGCAGCTTTAGAAGGCGCAGAAACTGAGCACAAAACTCTAACAGCTCTAATGTCCGTCCCATTAAGGAAAGCATCTGAAGTCCAACAGGAACTTCAGTTAAATCTCTTCTCGGCTTATAATTTTGTGGTCAGTTGCCGTAGAATTTTGTTACTAGGACTGTCATGCCAGGTAGCACAAGCTAGAGCAGCTTTCAAACTGTCTAGGCAAGCAAGGACTATGAAAATGTAACTGGTGACTCAGTTTCACCACATCTCTTTCATTTGTTGTCTGGCCTCAATTCATGTGAGGAGATTTCTTTGGCCCTGACACAGAAAAATGGCAGCCGTTAGTCTGTTCTTTCAGGTTTCTCTGTCTGACTTTAAACTGTAACAGCAGGAGTGCACTGAGAATTGTCAGTGAGGAGAAGGCAAAATCTACGTTAAAATCCAATGTTTTTTGTTTACTCATGTTTAAGAACTTTGCTCTTACTGTTCTTTTCTGAGATAGAGGAGCAAGCAGTTATGAACCATTGGGAAGAGTAAGTGACTGAGATGCTTCTGGTTGTGTACTAGGGACATAGATTTTCAAGGGCTAAATAGAGTTTTTCTCAAAGGCTATCTGGCAAGCTGTGAGTGGAGCATGTAGTTATTTCAGGCCTGGCTGTTTCATCCACTAGAACGACAGGTCTTGTTTAGCATTTCCCACTGCTTAGGTTGCTGGACTGTTTCCCAGATAAAATTTTGTTGCTTAAAGAAAGCAAATAACTTCAGAGATGTATTATATTTTTTTCTTTTTAAACACTTGCTATTTACCAGATATATCATAACATGAGGGAAATCAAGTGGTAAGGGTAGGGTGAGAGGAAACAACAGTACTAATTCTGAGTTGTTCCTTCCCACTCTTTTCGCCAGCTTCTTCTGTGCCATCAGTAATAGGAGTTTGGAACTGCATGCAGCAGAATCAAAAAACAAAGAAATGGAACAAGAATTGCTCAACGTTAAGAAAAAAATGACTGCTGTACTGTTGCTGGAAGAGCAGTTAGAAAAGTGAGTAATGGATGAAAAAGGGGAAATATGTGAGCAATACTGTGGACCTTTGTGATGTCATGCATTTCTTGTGATAACTAACAGAGTAATTTAATTGTTAGTTTTTTGACACATTTCTACTTAATTTTGGGGAGTATCTCTCAAGAGCTGTATTCTATGGACACTTTCAGGGGTCAGAAAGAGTTTTGGGATACAGTTATATCTGTTGTAAACTGAAAATAGTTTTGCAAGGAGTTTTCAGATGTGGGCTGGCATCTTCCACCCACTGAGGTTCCATCTTCCACTGAGGTTGAAGGCAAATCTCAAAAGTATAGGGGTTAGAAGGAGCCTCTAGAGAACATTGAGTGTGAGTGTGGCCTTTGAGTCTGGAGGTGGATGGATAGTTCCATGGGTATTTCCACTAGGAAATCTCACAGCAAAATGCAAATGTTTTCTTCATTCTCTCCTTTTGGTGTTGGTCGTATTAAGAAGTTCAGCTTGAGCATAGGTGGCCAAATGGTGTGTGTGTGTACAGGTATTTCTTTGAATGTAAGGGTTTCTTTCTTTTCTATTTAAGGGATCTTGAAAAAGTAAAGACACATCTTGAGATTGAAGGAGCTAAATCTGAGAGCCGATCTCAGAACCTGCAGTTCCTGAGAGACAAATGTGAGGATTTAAAAATCAGGATTAAGACTGCTGAGGTAAGTAGAAAGAATTATCTAATATAATGCTGTGACAGGTTGCAACAGTCATGGTTGGGTCCAAAATTGTAGTTAAGGGCATCCCTGGAGCCTCTTAAACTCCTGGACTTTGGACTTCTGGTCTCATAGGACAAGTTACCACGCTTTAATTGTTTCTGCTATTTTTATGTTCCTTCTGCAGAACTTCCTATGGTAAATGCAAGGATACTTTTCCTTCTGTAACTGAAAACATTAATAGCTCAGACTACTTTATGCTCATTGTGATGTGCCATAGTGTAAAGGTATACTGAAGAATTATCAGTAGAGTATATGCTTCACTGAGATAAATTGTGTCAAAATTTTGAGTAGGGACATTTTTTTGAGATCAATAAATGATTAAATGTTGAAGACTGAAGTTGTGCCTTTCCTGTATGATGATGGATACATGAATAATTTATTTATCATAGAATCATTCAGGTTGGGAAGACTACTAAGATCATCTAATCCAACCATCAAGCAATGCTTATGACCTCTCTAGACCATGTCACTCAGTGCAACATCTACTCTTCTCTTGACCACCTCCAGGGACAGTGGCTCCACCATCTCCTTGGGAAACCCATTGCACTGCCTCACCCGGATGCCCTCCAGTATCTTGACAAATACCAGAGATAGAAAGCATTTTACTGAGAAGCCTCTTCCTAACCTTGCCACGTGCTTTTCTCCCGCTAATTTTCTGTAAAGATTTATTAACCATGCTATAAACTTCAGTAGCAACGGATTTCATATAACGTCTAGAGCTATGGTTCAGATGGCACATACTTGTACTCTTACTGAATTGTGTTCTCGTCTGCCTGTTTCACTCAAAATGGCAAAATCTTTTTCCTCTCAGTTAGATTTTGTGATCAGTTATGTATGAGCTCTTTTCTGTTTCTAGATGCAGCTTACTGGCAGTGGGTTAGACCAATCACTTTTGCATGAGTCACTGGTGGGCCTGTCTGAGGTAGGTACAGGATGGAGGTTTCTACAATGATCCATTTTCTAAACAGAGTGGACGTTCTGTGGAATATATTTCATTACATAGCTGCCACGTTTCTGTTCTGCACTCAGCACTCTTTAACATTATTTGCTATTACTCTAATGGGAACTTCAATCCTCCCTGTTTCTTTTTCTAGCTTTTTCTGCCTATTCAGCTGAATAATGGAAGCAGATTCTCTGATTTTTTCTTTCTTTTTTAACACTGTAATTCTCAGGATGCAACACTGGGTGGCATTGTTGACATTGCTCAACATTTGAGAATAGTACTAACCAAAAATGATTCGAGTTGGAATTCTACACACAAAGTGGCACAGGGACCTTTCTAGTCTTTATCTGACCTCTGTCATCTTCTAAAACTTGAGTAAAGGGGATATTTGAGTCACAGGCGTTTCTACGAGCTTTGCCAAGAGTTCAGTTCAAATAGCCAGCATGAATGACTTCCTCTTCTGAATGTTTTTTTATTATTTTTACTTCAGATTGAATATTTGAAAAGGGTTAAGTGCTTTGTAATGTGATTAACTTTCAGCCTCCAGGAGAAACTGCCTCCTCTTACTAACAGAATGACCAAAGCGGTGCAAATGTTGGGGATTTCTTTTTTCTGCTGCCTGTGCAAGACTTTGTTTTCACATATAAGCCATGAGCATGAGAATGTATCTTCTTCCTTGGCTCTGTTCTTTATGTGACCTGCAGAGATGTTAACTCTGAAAGTTGTCTGCCTGGTGGAGCCTCCTGTGAAATCTCTTATTTCAGGGAGGTGAGATCAGGTGGTTCTGCTGTTAGAAACAGTGCTGTGTGCTTTCAGAAAGCAAAGGAAAATACCTCTGTGTAAAACTTGTACTGGGTTTAGCTGACTCACTGCCGAGTGAATGGTTGATCTTTAGTTTTCTGTATGTTTTGAGGAGGATCACAAGAGCTGTAACCAACATCTGTTCATTCCAAAATGCTGTTAATGTAGAAGTGGTGTAAATCAGTACAAGGAAGACTATAGAATGTGATCTACTTTGCTCTATTCACAGAAACTGGCTGGAATGCAGGAAGAAATTGTGCATTTGAAGAGGGACCTTGAGTGCTATCTTGATCTACCTCCTGTAATTATTTTTTCCATGGTTCTTTTATATTTGCAATCAAATTAATTTTAACAGAGTTCACAATATGAAGGAAGCTCTTGCTATATTTCAGTGGCTAGAAAACTCTAATCTGTTAACAGTGTTAAATAAAAACTGTACTTCAACACAATGCTATTTATTGATTAAGCAAATCCAAAACTAATTGTATGCTTACCGGGTAAACCTTGTTCTAACAAAATATGTAGGAGTATGATCTCAGCAGATGTGAATTGAACTCAGTATCAATCTATGAAAATTGAAAAAGCTGAAAATTAGAAAATACAATTATTGAGTTTAACAGAATTTTGTAGGTATACTAACACATTAGGGTATAAATTTAGGAAGAAATACCTGAATACAAACGCAGACTTTGTCCCCTAAGCATGTAGTGCATCTTGCAGGAGCACTGTCTGCTCAGCTCAGTTATTATGTTTGGTTTCTCTCTGAGAGTCCTGGGTATTCAGCCCTTTTGGAAAACAAAAGGCAACCAAGAAAGCCTGTACGTTTTCTTTCTGAATTGCTGTTTTGAGAGACCTTGTCTGGGTCCATTGCTTTAATTTCTGGCTTTTTCTGCTTCTGGTCACCATGCCAGGAGTTACAATCAGGCTGCTCTGCAAAGCACCTTTTGTAAAAAAGAATTTACCTATTTCAAATAAAAAGAACCATTGTTACAGAAGACTTTCAGTTGAGAGTAATTCTGTTAACAACTTCATAGCGGCTCAAAGAAATCATGGGCAAACAGAGCTTTAGTCTGGGGGAGTGGGGAAAGGCCTTGGTTTTGTGTGATATCTGTTCTGTGCTATCTGAAATGCTTCAGACAGCTAAACCCAAATATTTCTGATCTTTGGAAAAATGCCTGTACATTTACAGATGAATATTAAGGACTGGCATTCCTGCAAAATGTGGTAAAAAGTAGAGCAAAGAGTTGAATGGGTTTTAGGTTTAGTAAATAGAACAGTAAGCAAAATAGTCACAATTTTGACTTACCTAATACTGCCCGTTACCTCCTTATCTGACAACCCAGAGCATGTGATGTGGCTAACCTCTGAGAGTTAAAAAAAGGCTTGTTCCAGTTTTTCTAAATTGAGCACAGGAATACAGAGAAACAAAGGACCTTATCAAAAGCTGCACAGAAATTGTGATTAATTGCATCGCTTGTGTTGTGAACTAAGGTACTCGTCTGCTGCACGATCCTTCTCTCTTCACCTCTTCAACCCTTCCATAGTGGTCTTGCCCCTCAACACATCTTCCTGTAAGGAAATGGATGAAGGTAGAGGCTGTGACTGCTTCTCCTTTAAATTCATCTTAGTCAAGGAAGCAGCTGCCTCATCTCAAGCAAAATAGGACGTTCAAATCGCATTAGGTTTCCCAGTTCCTCCTTCCCCCAACTCCTTGTCAGAGGAGACAGGGAGAGCCCTAGTGCCCTGCTTCTGGTGCAGACAGAATGAAGGATGGTTTGTGCTAAAAGCGCGTTGTGCTCTGGAAGATTCATTCTTGGCTGTCTTTAAAAACTGGTTTGTTGATTGGCTAGTATGGAAAAGTGGGTATTTCTTAGATATTAGGCCATACCAGACTTCTGAAAAATACCTGATTGTTCAAATGAAGCTGATAATAGGCTTTTAATGTCAGTACCTTTCATATGTGAAAAGCATACACAAAACTGATTTCATTATCCTTGAATTCCCCTGTGGCATATAATTAGAGTCTTGCAGTGATTCAGGAACTCTGTAATTCAAATTGAAATATTGATTTTCATGCTATTTTTTTCTCATTAGAATCTTTCCCTTGCACGAGTGAAGGTTGAAGAAGCAAAACGAGAACTGGTAAGAGATTTTATCTTTCACAAATATTTAAATGGGTGCCGTCATGCTAAAACAATCTATATGCATTAATTGCTTGTGGATTTATCAACCTTGGATTGTGATCTTAATGATCTCTAGAGGGTAATTTTGCTATGGTAGGGCAGAAGCAGTGCATGTCAGTAGGAGGAACTGTTGGAGTCGTGATAGCTAACGGTGGTGAAGCAGTGGGACATGATGGGGGTTAGGTATATGTCTCTCTGGATTTTTGTCTGCTTCGTCTGTCAGAATGCTTATTCACTCCACTGCAGCTTTTTAGTTCCAAAACTTCTACTGCTCCTCAATTCTCAGAGTGTAGTAAGGCCCAGGTATTACTGAACAGCTGCCTTGTAGATTGCAACGGGGAGTTTTCCCTACAGAACATAATACTCACTTCATACATATGTGTGTACCCTGCAGGCATTGGTGGGAAACATTTAATCTGGCAATGTTTAGAAGGTCTGTACGAAGCTTTCCAGAGTGAGCTGGTCCATATTTGAGCATAAAAGCTGTCTTTGTTTCTTTGTGTTAGTACTTACTTGCTCATAGACACAGCACAAAGTATTCAGTGATACGCCATTCAAATTTCTAATTGCATTTTTAAATACTCTGTACATTTTCAGATGGGTTTGCTCAGACTGGTGAGATACTTGTTTCATAGTGCAAGCTCACCTTACCAGCATGCCAGGCTTCTGTTGGGTGTGTGCATCCTGTAGTTCAGCTTGAAGATACCTGATGTCCCATTAGGGCATGGTATAAAGGCCATTTATAAACAGATTTAGTGCTTTGTTTGGAGATTTCTCCATAGATGACTACTGAGACCGTTGCTGCTTGGATTGGTGAAAAACTACCAGTCTGATGCTTGGGTTAATCAGTGCCAATAGTACCCTAAGGTTTGATCATTGTAGATGTGCTTGTGCAAGAAGAATATATGAAAACTGCTTTGCATTTACTGTCGGTTTTCTCTCCTGCCAGAATGCCTTGGAGGTAGAGTTCTCAGAGAAGATTGAAATGCTGACTTATGATGTGCTGGAAACCAGAAGACTCTAGTTCACCTGAAGTGTCCTGAATAGGAGATTTCCTTCTTGTCTATTTGTTTGCACTAATGAAATATACTGGACTCAGTATATTCTGCAGCTTTCTGCCTTGCTCTTATCGTGGTTGGATGGCGTGCTTGTGACCTTTCAGCAAGCAAGCTCTTCTCTTCAGTGGTTCATGTAGCAGTGCATTCGTAAATGTCAGCTGTTTTTCCAATAAAATTCTTCCCAAACTTCTTTTTTTTTCTTTTTTTTTTCCCATATGTGGTGGAAATACTTCATCCAGCTGAAAACAGACTGATAGTAAGAGGACAAAGAGAAATGGCTTTAAACTAAGGAGGGCAGATTTAGGTCACATGTGAGGAGAAAATTCTTTACGCAGAAGGCGGTGAGGCCCCAGCACTGCTGCCAAGAGCTGTGGGTGCCCCATCCCTCGAGGTGTCTGAGACCATGGGTGGGTTCTGGGAGCCTGAGCTGGGGGAGGCACCCAGCTCACTGCAGAAGGTGGGTGGTGGAGTTTTAGGATCCCTCCAACCCAAGCAGTTCTCTGCTCTTCACCAGGAAGTGTTCTTATCAGGACTTGATAGGCCTTTACCACATAGAATATGACTGATCAGGGAATCTGCCTTTCCTCTTTCTGCACATCCAGTATTTTTTCTTCCCTGGTGCCCTTGCTTTGGTGGTGCAAGCATTGCAATGGCAATTACAATGATTCTTTCCATCTCCTACATCATTGAAATAAAAAGAAGAGCAAGAGTCAGAACTGAGGATTCACCATTTTTTTTTCCATGCATAGAATGTTGATCAAGTGAAGATGAGTTCTAGATGTATGCAAATAGCTTCTTTGGGCTTTTCTTTCAGGAGGAATGTAAATGTTAATTATTTACTTCATAGGGGTTACAGTACTGGTTTCACACATCAAATTCCACTGCTCACACAAGTAAGAGCTGGGATGAACTGTCACACATCAACTGCCTGAGAATCTGGGGTTTCTGTTTTCCTCAGTAGGAAAATAAACTAACTATGCTAACCAGTAAGGTTTGCCCATGTTGAGCACATTAAGAGCTAGCAGTCAATAATCTACGTTTTTTTTCTTCCTAACATGATTGCATTAACCATTACATTTTAGAACTTTGTGGATAGTTTTGTGATTTTTTTTTTTTTAATTTTGCTTTCAAGATGAACTTTATTAAGGCCTGAAGATACACAGGTATTTTTGCAGAAATTCTGTGAGATGTGGCCAGTTTGAAGCTGGACTGTGCTTTCCAATTCTACCTCAAATGCCACCTTCCTGAAGGGTCCCCGTAGCCCTCCTCTTCATGTGCCATCACCACACGGAGCTATAAGCATCTGACTTCTTAAAAGTGCTTCTCTAGAAATTGTGTCAACACCTAAAGGCACATCCTTTGTGCTATTTGCACCAGGCAGTGTCCAGACTGACAGCTGTGGTGCCCTCTGTGACATCTGTTGGCAATTAGTTGCAAAAGATTATGCTAATGGTTAAGCATGGTTTAGGAGCTGCTGCTTGCTTCAATGCAGAAATTGATTTCACTGATCTGAAGGAAAAGAGATTCTTCCTGTTGCTTCATGTCCTCCCTGGAAGCAATAGGATCATGAGTTTGGCATCTGACAATTGTACTTAGGATGCATCTCTGATGATTTCTAAGAAGCTGCAAGCTCAGAAGGCAGCTGTGTCAGTAAAGTGCCACAGCCTCATCGGCTTGTGGCTCTCCTCACCTCATTTCTTTCACCTTGATGCAAAAGAATTGAAGAATATCCAAAGAGCTGATGCTCGTGTGATCTTCTGTCTCTTCTCCCCAAATGCCAGAGAGAATTGGTGTTGAGCTTTGGGTTTTTAAATTAAAAAGTAGGAAAGGATTAGTTGCCTCAGTTTTGTGAGTAGTATCTTCAATTCTTTCTGGGCAAAAAAAAAATCAGGATGGCAAAACTAAGTAGAGGAGCAAGCTTTTACATGAGCCGAAGAGGTGAAGGGGAAATTACTCTGAGTTAACTGATGTGAAGTCTAGAGTGGCAACAGTAGTGCAGGGATGACTACAAGTAGTTACTGCTGACCAAAGACCAGACTGAAAAATGACAAGAGTGAAGTATTTGGATCTGGAAAGAGAAGAAGTGTAATCTGAACTCTCTTTTTCCCATTGTGGAAAGGGAAAAAAAAATACATATATACAGTCTTTGTGAGGCATCAGAACATACCAGGGCAGATGTTAGAGAACTGTTTAACAAGAAAGCCATTGTAAGGCACTGGAGGTTGTGACCTGACAGTTAAGGAACCTTAATCACTTGAAGCTTTTAAGAGCTGATCAGAATTGCTTTGCCTAATTATTTATAATGCTAAGGAGAGTTGATCACGCTTTGAGATAGGAAGATGGATGACTGCTTGAGGATGCTGCCTGCCCTGTTTGTCTATGAAAGAAAGCCTCAGGACTTACTCAGCTAACACTATTTGAGATCTCTGCAGTGTATTACAATGACTCAAGGCTTGGGTAGACTTCCTGTGGCGGTGGCACTCCCTTAGCACTACTTCATTACACAATACCTCTCCAGCTTTGAAATTTGTCTGGAGAGGTCTCCACCTCTGCAACTACAGTGCAGGTGCTGGTTCCTGTCCGTGGCCCATTCGTTCACTGGCAAAGAGTCCAATGACAGACATCAGCAGGGCCAGACTTGGACTCGAGAGATGCCCAACAATGGCTGTCTGTTTCTTCCTATGGCTGGGAGCATAAGCAGAGAAAAGTACCCATCAGCAGCATGCAAGCTGTGTGCCACAACTGAACCATCTGCAGCACATGCAGCACAAATCAGGGGCCACTTGTCAGGTCCTACAGTTTGGCTTTAGATGGGAATGGGGAAAGTCAAATAAATGAGATTTACACAGCAAACTGGCTGTCAGTAAGGCTACTCAGCTCTTTAGTCACACATTTGCACGAGCAGGGTGCCTTGCAGTGCAACCAGACATCTGTCCTCGCTGTTGGTAGGACAGGACAGACAAAGTGAGGATAGGATGTCAGCTCAGGAACACAACACAAAGGTCCTGCCAAGACAGGAGCATGCCAGTCTGAGCACTTGGCTGAGTAAACGTTTGATTCTGGGCTTTGCCCTCTGCTCTGACAGTTGTTGAGTGTTTCCACGGAGGAGCTGCGCACAGCCAGGAGGGAGGCTGCCAGCTGGACCTCTATTTTCTGTTGTATGTTATGAAATAATTACCCAACTGGGAGTGACACAAACGCCTGCAGATGCTTTTGCTTCTTCAGCCTAATTTCAAATTACATCAGCTGCTCTGCTCTGAGCCTTATTTTTGGAGACGCTGCCTATTAACACCTGCACATGCTCATGCTTGCTCACAGCTTCACGTGAGGTTCCCACAGCCACCACTCACGGTGTGAGATGCTGCACAGGCACTGCAGATCAGTGCATTGCTCCGTTTCTGTGCCAGCCGCAAGGGATGTGCCTGCGTCATCACAGCGTGATCAATTGCTTCCCCTTGGAAACAAGAGGACCCAAACCCCACCTATAGAAAAGGATTTAAAATGCTAGATGTGAAAACAGTGGTCAGCTTCAAGCATGAACTTGCATAAGTGGGTAAGGAATTTTATCACAAAGCGATAAACTATTCTTATGCTAATACGCAAAGTAACAACTGCTTTAGGAAGTTAAAAAACAATCTTCAAGTTGGTTTAGTGATTCAGATCTATGTAAAGGAAAACATTTGCATACCAAAAAAAAGACAGTAATAAAAGCAAAGTGACAGAGAAATACCAAAAAATACCAAACCATGAGGCAAAATTAAGGGTATTGGGCTGAAATGTGTAAGTATTTACTCAAAATGCATTGGGTCAAAAGACGTATGTGAAATCTCTTGGCTATATATTTTGTCTAGTCCATTTTACATAAATATTCTACTCATTGCAAATGGTTCAGGTTGCTTTTCAACCTTCGTTTGGCTGAAAGAGTTCCAAACGTTCTTCATTCATCTCAGTCCTTTAGTAAATGCAGAATAATAATATGGAATTATCATAGAAATGATAGAATCACCGTGTTTGGAAAAGACCTTCAAGATCCAGTCCAACTATCTACCTGCCACCAGTATTTCCCCACTAAGCCACGTCCCTTAGTACCACATCTGGAGGTTTCTTGACCACCTCCAGGGACAGTGACCCCACCACCTCCCTGGCAGCTGTGCCAGCACCTCTCCACTCTTTCAGACAGGAAATTTCTCCTAATATCCAACCTGAACCACCCCGGCACAACTTGAGGCCACGGTTGAACTGAGAGTTGAATACGTTTAAAAATCTTAAAACAGTTTCAAGATATATTTGAAGAGGAAGTTGGCTGTATGTTGTATTGCCTGGATTAAAGCACTGCAGACATTCTCTCAATACACAATTCCATTTTGGGAACTTCTAAACAAAATCATGATGTACCAACATGCTTGTAAATGTACTCAAGTGGGTATTTTTTGCTTGCTTTGTTTTTTAATTGTATACAGCACCAAGTAGGACTGGGAAAGATCTTTTACTTCTGAGCTCTTTGAGTTTTTAAATAAGAGGGCAGCACTGAAACAATATTAATTCTGGTCTGCGTAGCCTCGAACACTGCAGGAAATCCTTCAGCTTTGTCTCTGAGTCTGCAGTTGCTGTCAGTAACTTCAAGTGGCTTTGAAAACACTTTACATTTTGATACCTAACCTCATTTCAACAACTCTGTACCAGGCTGGGAGAATTCCTCTTTCTCCAATTCAGAAATATTTCTCCTGGAAAAAATAAAAATAAAAATTAAAAATTAAAAAAAATACCAAGTGAGTAAGAAGAGGCTTTACCAGTAAGTGTGTGTTTAAAGTCAAAGCTGCAGTTCCTTCTCTCTTAGCTGAGTACCAGCTGCGTGGTAGGACACAGCACTGCCTCCATCTGCCTTGAAGTAATTCAGTATTACACTGTCCTTACTCAATCATGTAATCTCCAGTAAAAATTAATCAACAAAAATAACAACAAAAAACCCACAACAAAATCTATTCCAAAACCATGAGCTAACTTAATAAATGCTTCCTTTAGCCCCACGCTAGTTGTGTCCTTAATTCTAATTAAGCAGCATGGCACAGTTGCTTATTAGACAATATTAGCTGGCAAATCCAGCAGCAAAGAATGTTTCTCATTCTTCCTTCTCTGGGAGATGGGGACTGTAGCTGGAAGGTGGGTTTAACTCCATGGGGATCTGTGGGG